CTTGTGAAGCCACCCAGCCTGGGTGCAATCTGTCCAATTTCATGATGAGACGGCGACCCCAGCGGAGTTCAGCTCAGCTCTTTCCAGTAGCTGTGCAAGGTGTGGTGCGGTGGCAAAGAAGAAAGTCCGCTAACCTGTGATGCCAGTTCCTGTGAGTGATCCTCTTTAAGGCATCCTTGGTTGTGCACACCATCCGTTCAGCCTGGCTGTTGGAAGCTAGATGGAACAGTGCAGATGTGGCATGCCAGATCATGTTGGCCTGGAGGAACGCCTTGAACTCAAACAACGTGAATTGGGGCCCGTTGTCGGAGACAAGGACATCTGGAAGTCCATGTGCGGCGAAGATTTCTCTCAGCACCTAGATGGTCCTAGCAGTGGTAGTGGAGGAGACAGGCATGACCTCTAGCCACTTGGAATGGCTGTCCACGAGGATTAAGAAGAATTGCACCTGAAAGGGCCCAGCGTAGTCGATATGGACCCTCGACCATGGGGTATGAGTCTCCTTCCACCTATGAACTGGAGCATGGGGCATCTCCGGCCTTGACTGTTGACAAACAGTGCACCTGTGGACTTGATGTCTTTGTCGAGCCCAGGCCACCAAAGATGGCTGTGCGCTAACGCCTTCATCCGGTCTATTCCTGGATGTCCCTCATGCAAAGACTGCAGGACTCTAGTCCTCAATGAGGTTGGGATTACTATCCGGCTACCCCATAGGACACACCCCTTGAAGGTGGAAATCTCGTGCTTCCTCTGCCAGAAGCTCTGGAATTCTGAGCCTGGACATGTGTTAGGCCATCCAGACAATGCCCAGGTCAGCATGTTAACATGTGATCAGTGGCTGTTTCTGCAGCCACGTCCCTAGCACTGAGGGGAGATTCAGGCAAGTCCTGAATAGACAGGATGCGGTTGCAGGTGCTGGATCTGCCTCTATCTGCTGTAATGGCAACCTTCTGAGACCATGTGCATGGCCCATTTCTTTGCCTGGCTTGTGAACCAGTGTATGGTCATATGAAGACAGGAAGATAGACCACCTCAGCATTCGTGGGGATATTATGTGTGGGGTTTGTTTGTTCATTGTGAACAACCCCAGCAGTGGCTTATGGTCTGTAAACACCATGAAGTGGCGGCCATATACGAAGTCATGGAACTTCTTTACGCCAGCCACTATGGCTAAGGCTTCCCTATCTATCTGTGCATAATTGCGTTCAGCTGATGATAGGGTTCTAGAGTAGTATGTTATTGGGACTTGTGTTCCATCAGCCTTCAAGTGACTTAACACAGCCCCAATCCCATAAGGGGACGCATCACAGGCGATGCACACCAGCAAGTTCTCATTGAAGTGCACTAGGACTGCATTTGAAGAGAGCAAGGCCTTGACCTCTTTGAAGCTCTTTTCATGTGCTCGTGTCCACTGCCAAGGGGCCTGTTTATCCAAGAGCTGATGTAATAGCTCAGCCATTGCAGCCTTGTGAGGAAGGAATGAGTGGTAAAAATTTGGCAGTCCCAGAAAGGCCTGAAGTTCACCCTTGGATTTGGGACTTGGGCCTGCTGAATTGCTTGCAGCTTGGATTCAGCAGGGTGGATGCATGCCCTGAGCATCAATGCGGAATCCTAGAAACTCTGTGGAGGTAACCCCAATCTTGCACTTGTCTTGCTTAAGCTTCGGCCCTGCTTGGCGGAAATGTAGCAAAACGGCTCTCAGCCTTTTGGCTAAATTGTCAGCTGAGTTCCCAGCAATGAGGACATCGTCCAAGTATGGGCAAATGCCAGGGATATTTCGGAGTGTTCACTCCATTACACTCTGGAAGATGCCAGGGGCCACGTTTACTCCAAATTGCAATCTTTTTACCTTGAATGTCCCTCTATGAGTCACTATAGTTTGGGCCTCAGCCGTTTCCTCATCAACTGGCAATTGTTGATAGGCCTGAGCCAGGTCAGGCTTAGCAAAGATCTGGCCCCCCTTGAGGGAGGCTAGAATGTGGTTGACCACCGGTATTGGGTACGAATGCTGCTGCAGCACTTTGTTAAGCGTGCACTTGTAGTCCGCACAGATTCTGACTTCACCATTGGCCTTCAGTGGCGTAACTATGGGCACTTCCCATGGACTACTGTCCACAGGCTCTAAGATACCCTGCTGAATTAGTTTATACAGCTTTGCATCTATTTTATCCTTTAAGGCAAAGGGCACCCTGCGTGGCTTGATTCTAATGGGGGCTATGGTTGGGTCTAGCCTCAGAGAAATAGGAGGGCCTTTGTAGGAGCCAAGTTCTGGACTAAACACATCTACAAACTCTAGGCCTGTTGTTTGCATGCCGTGTATTCCAGTCACCTGAATTCCCAGGGCCTCAAACCAGTTGAGTCCAATGAGACTCGTGTGGTCTCCCCCAACCACAACTACATTCAGTAGCCCTTCAAAATTCCTACACTGCACCTTGAGCGTGGCCTCCCTCATGTTGACTCTGGAATTTTGGAAATCTGTGAGGATGAGGGTTGACGGCCTGAGTTTAACCCGTAGGCCACTTCTGCTGCAGACCTTGTTAAAGGTGTCTAGGGAGATGATCAATAGAGTGGACCCAGTGTCCAGCTCCATCAACAAGGGGACCCCTTGCAACTTCACGTCGATGTGAAGCTTCTTCCTAAGTGGCCTGTGGACCCCTGTTCTAAAAACGCTCCTACATGACGCGCAGAAGCCCACCCTGTTGCGGCTGGCGACTCTGGTACCTTTCTGAGGAAATTCTTCTGGGTAACACTCCTTCTGGCGACCCAAACAGACAGAGGCAATGTGGCCTTGCCTCCACAGGCCCTATAGATGGCGGAGCAGAAATGGAGTCTGCGTGGCGATGGCGGCCTCCACACCCGATGCACCGAGTGGATGATGCTGGCTGGGCCTTCCCTCCATGAGGCCTTCTCCCTGGAGTCTGATGCAACCAGTCCACTTCTGATTCTGGATCCTGTTCGGATTCTTTGTGAGCGACCTCTTGATGGATCGTGGCTGGAACTTGAGGGGGCTTGGTGAGCCGCAAGGCCTTCACGGCTCTGCCTGCTGCTTCTTCAGCTGAAACTTTCCTCAGGGGATCTTGGAACATGAGACCTTCCTTTGCGAAGAGCTTCTGCTGCAACTCCCGGCTTCGCAGGTCGCAGACCTGCCAATCCCTCAGTCTCTCCTCCAAGACTTTGAATTCGCAGGGCCTAGCTACTTGCCGTAAGGCTGCAACAAACTCTGCTGCAGACTCACCAGGCCTCTGGTCCCTCTGCTCGAACACATGTCGCCAGGCAATCACTGAGAGCTTGGGTTCAAAATGCTCTCGAAGCATCCTCTTCAAGTCTGTGTAGGTGATTGAGTCCAGTGGTGCTGGGGCGACCAGATTCTCCTCAATCTCCAAGGTCTCTTCCCACACACACACAGCAGCATGGCAGCTTTGAGGTCATCTTCGCGAATTTGATTCACCCAGAGGTAGTTCTCCACCCAGGCCACGTACGAGCTCCAGCATTCTGGGTGAGCTGTGTCAAATTCTGAAAGCTGGCCTATCTTTGCCATCGTTTCAGCCCAGGAACTTCGTCCACGCCTCCTGCTGCAAGGATTGAGAAGGGGCCCCCTTTTCTGAGCTCACCTCCAGCGTTTCTGTGCTGGCAAGCTGAGTCAATCTCCAGGCGCCACACTTCTCTGAGCTGCAAGCCCCCTGTGGTGAGTCAGCTTGGCTTCTCACTCTGTTTGCCTTGCAGGCATCCCACCTTCGTTGCCAATGTTCTGTTTCAGAAGAAGAGGCATCGAGACGAAGCAACAAGTTCCAATAGTTCTCCTTTATTGCAAACATCAACAGAACCGATTTTAAAATGGTGCGGACCCCTTTTATAGCCCCCCTGCACAATACCTTGCTGGCCAATCATTTCAAAGGATCTTTTCCCACCGTGCGCGTGCACACAAGGCTGGGAGCAGCCTTTCTTGTCCCGGGCATCCACATGGTCTGCCCAGGCCAATCGCTGCAGCCTGCGTCTGCCGGCTCAGGACATAACACGTTGCCCTTTTCATCTCCACACTATGCTGCTTTTAATAGCAACACTCCCAGGCAGGGACTGGCAACGTGAGAAGTGTTGAATCTCATCCAAACTGGATGATTGGCAGAGAATTACTAAAACAGCAGAAATGATGCTGTGCTGCAGATAAAATTATGAGGTATACACAACATTACTCCATCTTACCAATCCTTTATCAGCGTTCTCCATGCTTACCTATTTAGATAGGAGCAAGGTGTCTATTTCGGTGAATTTCCTTTATCCTGCATTTATACATATTGCAACAAGGCATAATATACTTTGGTTTGCACTTAGTGAACTGTGTAAATCCAGCCAGCATAAAATAAGTTTTATCTAAGCTCATCCAATTAAGGCTCATTCAGCATGATCTGCAAGCCCATTTTTTTGACGTAGCTTTTAATACACGGCAGTAAAGTATGTGAAAAAGAGAAAAAGGAAGTACATTTTTTTTCTCTTTTTCTCATGTACATAGCCCCAATCGTACTATCCACACACATTTCTGAATGAGTGATTACTTATTTGAATGAATGAAAGTTAGCCCCAGGGTCATATACTCAAACGATTCACGGAACAGCACAAAAAACGAAATAATGAAATGGAGGTAATGACATTTACTCCTAGTTGACCACTGCCGCTCTGCTCTTTTTTAACTGCTCTTCATTACGGCAAAATAAAGGTTGTCTTTACTGGGAGGGGTAGTAAAAGAATCTAGCAAGTATCAACATGGGACCGAATTATTTCAGATTTACGCGGAAAAATAAAACTTCCATCTTATTTAACCAGATGGAAGCATTCTCGGAGAAAGAGAAACCCACCCGCACACGCAAAATCGCAGAAGAGGGAGGGAGCTAGGTTGGGGGCCAGGCGTGCCAAGCAGCCTTCCTTTAAGACCTCGTTGCCACGGCAACCCTTGCTACCGGAAGAATTCCTCAAGGACTCCGCCCATCTCTTCGAGCATCTCAGTAGTTCGGGCTCCCAGGACCGTTTCTTTCCTGTCGAAGATGGCGGACGACGGGATAATGGACGGGAAACGGCAGGGCGAACCGGAGGAAGCAGGAGCAACAGGCGGGCCGAGTGGCCTTGAGCGGCAGAAAGGACCCCGTTCAAGCGGACGGCCTCCCACCGTTCGGGATCTGCAGGTAGAGGATGGAGGAAGAGGGAGAGATGATGAGGGTTGGGAGCAGAGGCTTGGCAGTGTTGGTTCCCCCCATGATACTTTCCGCTTCGGAAAGTGAAGCGGCGGCGATGTTATGGTCAAGGGAAAGTGGAGTGATCCTTACTGGAAAGCACAAATTGAAAGCTGCATTTTTGAGTAGAGGCCTTTGAGTTATTTAACGGATCTGGGGACCGTTAGCTTAGCTGGCGTTTATCGGTGGCATGTTTTCCTGGTTTTTTTTTTGGGGGGGGCGAAGATTTTGCTTTCAAAGAGTGAGAAAGATTCGTCATCGTCAGCAATAGTAATAGCACCAGTCTATTCCATATATACATTGTACATATGGAGCTTTATTTCTTCCACATACTTAGAATATTACATATAGATCTTGCAAAAGGGAGATGTGCCAAAATATTAGTGAAATGTATGTATGTGCTTTAATATTAGTGAAACTAAATTATATAATTTTTAATCATAGCATTAATCATCTTATCAATTTGACAAAATTTAAATGTTGCTGTCATCTTATATGAGCTGTAGCATATACTATATGTTTAGCTTAGGATAATCTTGTATATAATTCCACGTTCCACTGATTCTAGATAATGGAACTTGACTGTGTCCATACATGGAAAGCACATATGCCCCACTGCCAATGTTGAAGAACCAGAAAATTTGTAGTTCAGCAAAGCCCCGGAAAATGAATCACTATCTAGTGTGAGCTTGTTCTACTCACTGCCTTTAATCTTACTTTGCCAGTTTAGGTTGGTAGTATGTTAACAACATCCATATTAAGAAGTATTCAGTTGGTAAATATTGTTCTTCAGTCATGAGATTTTAATGAAGAAAAAATAACTGTCAGTGCTCAACTACTTATCTGTACTGTTCCTTCCCACCACCCCCTGAAATTGAAAATAGCTCGTACTACTTTATTTTTTGGATCAATAGATACTGATTAATCCATATTTCTGTGTAGCTGGCACTGGCTGGATTATATGAAGATGAAATTAAAAGACAGCCACCACATTCAGGCAGACCAACAGCTAGAGTTGCCAGTCATCCCCGATTACCAGTTCAAAGGTATAAAAAATGTTCATTGTAGTTACTGGAAGATAGAATACTTTGAAATGATTGTGATAGTTCCTATAAACATGGATATATTGATATTGACAAGCATTTAAATGAATATACCCACAATATTTAATATTGTGGATATAAATTGCGCTTATTTATATGAGAGTAAATACTGTTAAACATGGGGTAACTTATTTTTAAGTGAACATGAATATGTTTGTAGTAAGAGTAATTTTGTTTTATATAGAAAATTATTTGACTACCATAAAGCTTTCATATTAACTCTGCTGAAATTAATGAACGACTATGCTATAAATTTGCTATTGACTGATGTAGTAGTAATTTATTTAAGTTCTGTATCTTAAATAGGTTTTATAAACTATAAATTTTAGACAGCAGTTAGGAAAGTGCAAAGGTTAGGGGGCTTTTGGCAATACAATGGAATAAGAGATTGATGATACCATTAAACAAATAAAATAATGAATAAATTTTCATATTTCCTCTAGAAATTTGAGAAAACCAGAAAGGAGTATGAGTGATGACATGGATAACCAAAGGTACTATAAAATAAAACATACAGCATTACATAGCTGTATGGCTTTCTTTGCTAGTGAGAAATATAGAATGGACTGTCTAGTCCTTATTCTTTCATTGTATATCTTTAATATAAAATTTACATCTGAGATGGGATAAATGCATCTCAGTACAATTCGTCTCTTTCCACCATTTTGCCAGTGGGTTCTTTTTCCAGCTAAAATCATGTATATGAAATATATTCACAGCCCTGAACTTTAAAAAAAAATCTATTCAGCTTCTCCTAAGGAAGTTTTGAGAGCCTAGCAGGAACTGCTGTAGAATGAGACAGCAAGGAACTGCTTCAGGCAAGGCTTCTTTTTATCAACTTGTATAGTTATTATATTATGGAGGCTAAGAGAACTGGGAGTTCATAGAAATTTAGTACAGTATTTTCAGGATTTTTTATTGCAAAATCCCTTGCTTTAAGTATTTTAACTGCTTTTATGTGAGAACCCACATAAAATCCAGTTCTGTTTGGAAAGCTGAGTTTCTATTTAAAAATTTTGACTTATACTGTTGTTCTTTCTTTTTTTTTTAAAAAAAAAAAGATTTTACTCAGGTGATACAGAATACAGAATTGTTGAGTCATCTGGCAATATGACCTCTAGTAAAATAGTTGATGAACTTTTCAAAGAAGCAAGAGAACATGGGGCAGTTCCTTTAGATGAAGTATCAAGAGCTTCAGGAGACTGCCATAAAGCTAAAGTGTGTATATTCATTTTTCTAGAACATTTATTTTAATGCAAAAATGTTCATGTTGACATTTGATTCATCTTAAAATCATGCTTAAATTGTACTTAAAAGGCTAGGAATTTTGATAAATATTTCTAGAGAACAAGAATGGTGGTAAAGTTTACTGAAAAAAAAAATTTCTGCTTTTAATATTTCTGCCACACTTTAATAGTAATAAATAACTGCAAATGCTGGTATCATGGTCCTTTGTAAAACTTGATCGGTAAAATAGAAGTGTGGCTATCATTTTTCTCATGAGAAAGTGCAAGTTCATTACAATCTGGCATGGAACCCAGCGTCATCATTGGTCCCATAGATGAAACTTCAAATTTGCTAGAAATATATTTATATATAAATGAAATTAAAATCATATCAGTTAGCTTATGTTTTTGTTCTATATAAAAGAGCACACCCAGTCACCACATTCCATAGTCATATTTGCTAATATATCTAAAAATTGTTTGCATGTTTTTCCTTTGTTTAGCAGTTCATACTTTGTATTAGTTTAACTGTAGAATATAAGCGTAAGTTTGATCTCTTAGCTATTCAGCAAATATCAGAACTTTTCCCTAGGTTACTCTCCTAATTGCTAATCATTTTTGTTTCATAGAATCAAAGGGTTAGGAAGTACTAATTCAACTGCCTGATTAGGGCAGGAGTCTTCACAATGTTGTGGAAAAAATCCATTAAAAGACACGACAGCACATTATGAACATCTCACTTTAGGAATCAGAGGTTTATTTATCGATTTTTAGAACACAAAGCAATCATATACATACTTAAACCCATTTCAAGGAGGACCAGCTTTGGACTAGCAGACATAGCAGTGACGGCTAGGGCCAGTGGCCTCGAACCATATCCAGACTCAATCTTTTATACCTTAACTCATCTTAAAACATAGGCAGATGGTCAGCAACCTTACACTTTCTGCAGACTTTCTGCTGACCATAACTTTCCTCATACCCATCTACATCTGAACCCACACCCATCAACTACTTTCAGTTCCCCATTTCTCACAGTTCCAGTCCTTATGTTCTAAATATACACTTGAGACCAGCAAAAATGAACATAGCACAGACTTTGGTTCAATACTTTTTCCATGAGGCCTGATTTAGTTCACCTGGCCCTAAATCTTGCATAGAAACAATAGTCAATTGAGGTGGTCTCACATGGAGAATGAGACACGCACGCAGCAGGTATCTCGGGATGGGAGCCCAGAGCTGATTCTTGCACCCTATTTTATTGTTACTAAGGTTTTTACATCATACAGCGTAAGCAAAAGACGTATATAGGGGTGGTTACAATATATCAAATAACAGACACTTTCCAGATGCAAGGCTACAGCAGGTGTTCTTATCAGAGTCTGTCCAAATGGTTGATGAATGCATCCTGTGTCTGAAACAGTCCGTTTGTTATCTCAGGCCCTTGTGGGAGATGCCTATGGGCAGATGTCTATGGGCATATTCGTGCAATTAATCCCACATCTCCTCCTTTTCTGTTTTTTCTTTAATGTTACTCACTTCCAGTTCCAGAAGGGATCTTGATTTACTGATTAAGGCGTCCTTCCTAGTGGAGGGCGTAACATTTTTGCACATTTGCAGGAGGGAGGGAATACATTGAATGCAACAACATAGCAATACAATTAATATCAAAATGGTTACTATCATAGAAATCAAAGATCGTAGCCAGGATCCATCCGGTAGCCAGGACCAAAGGGCACCCCAAATATCCACGGTGCCTGATCCATCGCTGCGTAAGGGATTATTTTGGAGCAAAGATTCCATTTTCCTGGCTATAGCAGAAATATTAGGTTGAAAATCATGTATATACATACAACAATGAGAATGAATTAAGGCACATACACTGCCTTTTGCTGCTAAAATAATATCTAAAGCATACCGATTTTGCAAAACTACTTCCCTTATTTCCCCCATTTCTTGATTAATCATTTTAATGCTGTTAATTGTTTCATTAAACATATGAACAGTCCAATTGTTAAGCAAATGAAGGTCTCTATAGTTCATGGCAACTCCTAGATTGGGTAGAATCCCTCTGCTGATTTGAGTCTCTAAACTACCACCCAATGTTAGGGGTGGATCTGAGGAACCAGTATCACGTTTGTTCCGCAGGCGTCCATCAGGGAGATGAGGCAAGGCATATACAGCAGGAGTCAAAAGGCCCAGTGTACAGGTGCCTTTCCAATCCTTAGGCACCTGGCGATAGGCTCTACGGCCACATAGTAGCCACATATCGGGTAACTCATAATAACCCTGGTGAGACTCATTAGCAAATGTTATTATGGATTCCATGTCAAGGCAAGCCATGTAGGTACTGATGTTTGTCCATTGATTGCTTTGATAAGTGTCATTTATCTTAGTAAGGTTGCTTTTGATGGATTTGCATTTCTTTGCTGAATTCCATATAATAACTTGTTGACAATTACTATAAGTTCCCAAATAAATGGCAGTACGGAATAGTCCTGTGCTATAAAAACAAAATCTGGCAGGTTCCATTATACGAGCGCCCACAGCATATGTCATATTCAATGTCTCTGTAGTTATGTCCCACAGCTGCTTCCATCCTGTTTCATTGAACGGAATGGCATGGAAAATAAGGCCACCACGACTGTCACCAGGAATTTGCATGCAGATCCAACAGTTTGTGACGTTAAGTGTAAGAGCAGTGCGCCTGGCATCCCGTACAAAAGCATTAAAAGCCCACAGTCCCTGATCCTCATATGCCTGGCTGAGGTGGTGTACGTTGAGCCATATAAGGACGAACACAACGAGCTGGAGTCCAAATGATCTCGCCATGGTCGTCTATTGCAGCATAGCCTCAACCCCAAGTAATGAGGGAGGCAGGCCCTTTCCAGGTGGGATCAGGCAAACGTCGATAGTATACCTGGGGGCGTGAAGAATCTGTGGGAGAAGCAGAAAAATGCCTGCTTGCGGCAGTTGAGCCAGGGGTGCCAGAAACATTCAAAAAATTTAAGGTAAAAAGTACAAGATTAAGAGTGTTTTGTATCCCAGGCAAGCTGGGGGTATTTTCCCCTTTCTTTTTTGCATACATGTCTAGAGCCTTTTTTTACAGTCTGATTGGCTCGTTCCATGATCGCTTGACCAGTGGAGTTATATGGAATGCCAAATTTATGAACAATAGACCAGCGAGAGCAAAACTGCGCAAAGGAGGTGCTGGTATAAGCAGGAGCGTTATCAGTCTTAATTTCTTTTGGATTGCCCAGGGTAGAAAAAGTATGAATACAATGATTAATAACATGTTTGCAGACTCACCCCTTTGAGGGATGACCATAATAAAACCTGAATAGGTGTCAATGGAAACATGCAAATATTTCCAAGGGGCAAATGGCAAATATTGCGTAACATCCATTTGCCAAAGTTGACAGCTCTGCGTCCCTCTTGGGTTGACCCCTTGAGGAACAGAGTGTGCTTGGAGGCTGCAGGTGGGACATTGTTGTATGATAGTTGCAGCCTCCGTAGCTGTTAAAGAAAATTGTTTCATTAAAGCCTTCTTATCTTGATGAAAATATGAATGGCTGTCCCATGGAGTTATGGGAGATAAAACAAGGACAGAAACATCCTGGTGAGTGGAGGCGGCCGAAGCGGCAGCATCCGCCTTGGCATTGCCTTCGGAGATAATACCAGGGAAAGGTTGGTGACTTCTAATATGAGCAGGAAAAAAACAAGTAGAGCGGGAATGAAGAAGAGATTGGAGTGTGAGAAATAGACTGAGGACAGAGTCATCCAGTGAGGGTGACACATATGAATCAGATAAAGAGGTGAGAACTTTATATACATAAAGACTATCTAAAATAAGATTAAAAGGTTCAGAAGAAAAAGTTTGTAAAGCCAATATTGTAGCAGCAAGTTCAGCATGCTGAGCAGAAGTTTGAGGAGGAGTAATTTTTGTGTGCCATTGTTCACCCTCCTTCCATACACATGAACCATAAGTCTTGCTGCCATCAACATACAGGGTGACAGCGTTAGGAATGGGAGAGGAGGAAATGGGAGAATGCAGAGAAATTGAAACATTATTAAGGAGTTGGAAGCGAGGGTCAGAGGCAATATGACAGGAAACAGATCCTGCCCAGTCAGCAAGAGAAAGTTGCAATACATCTGAAGAGGCAAACAAAGGTTCCCATATAGTAAGAGACATGGGGACATATAAAAAAACAATATCAAATCCAATTAAACATTTTGCTCGAAAACGGCCCTTTGTAATTAAAAGAGCAAACATATATGGCAGTGGATTGATAGATTTGCGAGGGGTATTGGGGAGGTGAATCCATTCAACAATGGAGACTCTCCCCTTTTGATGTTGGAGAAGGGCAGCTGTAGGAATAGAAGGAGTATTAAATATGGCCAAAGACAAAGGCTCATTGGGAATGGCCCGGTCCACCCATCGGGTGGAGAGGGCACTATTGATTAAGGCAAAAACATGTTTTTGAGTAGGGTTAAGAACAATAACAGAGGAGGGGGACCTGTGGCCTCGCAAAGCCAAAAACAAGGGTGCCAATTGGGCAGTGGTGAGTGCAAGAAATGGACGCACAAAATTTATGGTGCCCAAGATTTGTTGTAAAGCAACTAAAGTGAGAGGAGAAGGAAGGTGGATGGCAGGGAGTACTGGAACAGAATGAGAGGCTAGGACTTTGTGTCCCAGATATAAAAAGGGAGATTGGGTCTGAACTTTTTCTGGGGCAACAATAAAGCCATAAGAAGCTAAAAGCTTAATGAGTTGGGGTAGGACAGTTTGCACTGTGCCAGGAGGACCCGGGGCAGCTAGGAGAATGTCATCCATATAGTGATAAAGCAAAAAGTTAGGATAGGATTTGCGAAAAGGCAACAATGCAGCGTCCACAAAAGCTTGACATATGGTGGGGCTGTTAAGCATGCCTTGGGGAAGAACAGTCCATTGATAGCGAGGAGTAGGTCGGGACATGTTAGTTTGAGGCAAAGAGAAGGAAAAAAGTTGTTTGTCATCAGGGTATAAAGGAATGGTAAAAAAACAGTCTTTTAAATCAATAATTGCCAAATCATAGTCTTTGGGGATCATATTTGGGTTGGGCATTCCGCACTGTAGCGGACCCATGGGTTTAATTATTTTGTTAATGAGGCGTAAATCATGAATAATTCTCCAGTTGCCTGATTTTTTCTTGACTACAAATACTGGGGTGTTATAAGGACTGGTAGTTGGTTCCAAATGGCCAGATTGTATTTGCTGATATACCAGTTTCTGCAATGCTTCTTGTTTTTCTAAAGTGAGTGGCCATTGGTCCACCCACACGGGGGTGTCAGAAAGGAGCGTAAGCTTCATGGGTGAAGGAGGCATTGTTAGTCTTCCAGAGTTAACTTCGCATTAAATTGAGAGAGTAAGTCTCTGCCCCATAAATTTGTGTGAAGAGGGAGGATGATAGGTTTAAATTTAGCAGAAATGCCTTTTGTGATTCGTTGTGCAGTAAGCCAATTTTTACTGGAGCTTGCCTGTTGGAGACCTCCCACTCCCCTGACTGCCGGCGAGGATTCCAGGGGCCAGTTAGAGGGCCATTCAGCTGTTCTTATGACTGAGACATCCGCACCAGAGTCTACAAGACCAGAGAAGAGAATGCCATTGATTAAAAAAGGCATCACCAGTTTTTGGGGAGTAATTTGCTTTGTTAGTGCCAATAAATCAAAGGAAGAATTCCCAGAGTGAGGTGCATATGCAGCCTCTGGAATGGGTGGTGCTGGACGTGGTAATAAGACCAAGCGTGCCACCGTATCCCCCCGGTTCATTGTGACAGGGAGATTGGTATAAAATTGGACTTTTAGGGTGTCTCTATACGTGGGATCTATCAAACCTGGAAGCACAAACACTCCTTGTTCCCGAGCAACAGGCGTGGGAAGAATTATTGCCTCTGTTTCCGGAGGCAAGGGTCCAGAATAAAGGGTTTCAGCAATCGTGAGTAGGTTAGGAAAAGTAACAGAAAGATCAGAAGCCAATTTTAAATCAATGCCAGAAAAACATTGCGAAGCTGGAGTAAGATCTGAAAAGGATGCAGCCTTTGGAGAGGGGTTAGCTACAGACCCCTTTGTTAGTTTCCCCGATTAGACTGAGAGGAACGGCACTGATTGGCCCAATGAAAACCCTTTTTACATTTTGGGCACACAGTTTTGGGCTTGGCTCCGGGGATGGCAGCGGGTCAAGCTGCGCCGCCTCCTGGGGCTCTGCATTGTTTTTTAAAATGACCAGATTTCCCACAATTAAAGCAAGTGCCTTGGGGTTGATTCCCCTTTTGGATTGCAGCTGCAAGAGTGTCCATTTGAAAAGCATTGGTTCCCACAATGCGACAGGCTTTAAGAAAGTCTGCCAGAGTGGCCGTGGGACTGGAAACAATTGGTTTAAGAATGGACTGGCAGTCTGCATTTGCATGTTCATAAGCCAATTTTATGAGGATTTCATTTGCTGCATCTCTGTTTGAAATTTGACGCTCAATGGCAACTTGCAAGCGATTCACAAAGTCTGCATAGGATTCAGTTGCAGTTTGGCGAATGGCAGAAAAAGATTGAATCGGGGTGCCAGACTCATCAACACGAGCCATGGCAGAAAGAACACAAGCATTAATGATAGGAAATGCAAAGGGAGTAAAAGTTTGAGCTTGAGCATTAAGGGTAGCAAAATTGCCTTCTCCAAAGAGTTGTTCTGCTGTCCATTGTGAACCTGGGTGATTAGCTCTGCTTTGTGCCTCTCTTTTATATTCAGATTCAAAAACTACATATTGTGTTCCGTTAAGAAGCATGCGGAACAGATCTTTCCAATCTTGAGGCAACATTCGATATGCACTAGCAATTGAATGTATCAGTCCTCTAGTATAGGGACTGGTTATGCCATAATCTTTTGTAGCCTTTTTCAATTCTCTGATCATAGCCAGGGGAAGTGCTTCCCAATCAACTATTAAGCCTGTTGTAGTCTGTTGGTAAGTAACAGGGAACAACTCTGTCTCGGATAGTTCAGAAACGCTTAAATCACCATTGTTTAAAGCCTTTTGAAAAGCACCACGGATGATTCCGGGCCGGAAGAGAAGCGGCAACGTGGCAGGAACAGGAGAGGCTGTTTGTTGTTTATCAGGATCCATAAAATTTGCAGGGGCCGAAGGAGGGTTAAAACCAGCTCCAGGGTGTAAAGGAGTGGCCAACATAACAGACAGATTTTTATACGGTGGAGGGTCTAATAAAGGCTGATGAGGCGAGTCAGCATGGGTTTGAATCAGGGTATAGGCAATTTTCCAAAGGCACAAAATCTCTGGGGGGGCTCTTGGAGACTGACGGAGAACAGCGCCGATTTTCCTCCATGTATCTACTTTTAAAGATCCAGACTCCTGATAGGATGAGCAGTTAGCCCATACGTAAGCAAGCAATTTTACAGCCTCAGATTTAGAAAGGTGACGGGTTAATTTCTGTTCCTGATTAGTAAGATATTTTTTCCTGCCAAGTAGCCTCAGATCTTCCACATGCTGCTTTTGAGCGTGAGACATTCCACCCCCCATACTTACGAAGAGGAGTCAGTTGCCAGCAACTTCGTTGGGTGCACCAAGCCTATTCCAGGCGATAAGTAAAGGGTCGGCAGGGACGTATCCCTCAGTGGATCACGTCGGGGTCACCAGATGAGGTCGTCTCCCATGGAGAATGAGACACACACGCAGCAGGTATCTCGGGATGGGAGCCCAGAGCTGACTCTTGCACCCTATTTTATTGTTACTAAGGTTTTTACATCACACAGCGTAAGCAAAAGACGTATATAGGGGTGGTTACAATATATCAAATAACAGACACTTTCCAGATGCAAGGCTACAGCAGGTGTTCTTATCAGAGTCTGTCCAAATGGTTGATGAATGCATCCTGTGTCTGAAACAGTCCGTTTGTTATCTCAGGCCCTTGTGGGAGATGCCTATGGGCAGATGTCTATGGGCATATTCGTGCAATTAATCCCACAGTCAATATTTTCATTTCCCAGAACACCATCCCAGACAAATCATTGTCAGAGCTTTGTTTGAAAGACCCATGAATTGAAGCGTGCTGTTCTACTGCCTAATAGTTCTTACAGTCAGCAAATTTCTTCTTATTTTGTATTTGGATCATTCTCTGTAAAGCTTCCATCTGTTGATTCTTATCTTATACTCAGGCACTAGCAAGAATAAATCCATACTCTCTTCCTAGCGACAGCCCTTTCAAGTATAGGAAGTTGCTCTCTTGTCATTTCTTAGCTTTCTCTTCTGTTGGCTAAGCAAGCCTAGTTCTTTTAAATTGTCTTCAGAAGATTTAGCCTCACCATCTTTGTTACTCTTCTCTGCATTCCTTGCAGTATCTCAGTTTTTTAGTATTGTGGCAGTCAAACTGGACAAAGTACAACTAATCCTCAACTCGTGACCATTTGTTTAACAATGGTTTGGAATTATGATGACCTCAGAAAGGGTGTTTTATTGCCTGTAAAGCCCTTCTGGCCATTGCAAAACATTGCACTATCATCCCCTGACTTATGATTGCAATCTGGATGTTTGAGCTTATGACCAGCAGCAGTTAGAGTGCAGTACTGCAGGCCACTTTAGCTGACTGTGTTCAGCAGGTCAGCGGTTCAAATCTCACCGGCTCAAGGTTGACTCAGCCTTCCATCCTTCCGGGGTAGGTAAAATGAGGACCCAGATTGTTGGGGGCAATGTAAATATATATACATTGCTTACTGGTGTACACCGCTTAGAGAGTGCTCGCACTTAAAGCGGTATATAAGTCTAATAAATAAATAAATTGCCATTTGCAATTTTCTTGGCTGGCTTGCCCAGAAAGTACAGAAGCCAGCAGGGGAGGATGCAAGCTGCTACTGCTGCCTACTGAGAGGAACAGTTCTTTTCCTCGGCCAAAGGAGAGCTGAACTTGGCAGGTAGCTCTTTCACTTTGTCCATTTAACAACCTGGGAGATACAGTAGCTTAATGATTGCAACCAGGAATGCTGGTCTTTTGGTCGTTGAACAAAGCAGAAACAAGGGCATCTCCCTGAACAACCACTTTGTTCAACAACCGAGATGCTGATCCCAGTTGTGGTCATAAGTTGACCACAACTTATGACCACCATAAGCTACCTGTGTACTAGACGTAATCTGACCACAGCATTTTAAATTACTCCTTCTTACCTAGTAGTTTCTAGAAGCAGATTGACAACTAGGGTCTCAGTTTATCAATGAAACCACCACTTATTTGTAATGAGTGTGCAAACTATGTTTTCAGATGTTGTTTTAATTACAAAATATTTGATATGATATGTGGATCCAATCTACATTTATTGCATGGATTTCACATAATCTCATTTCTTTTGGGAAAGTATGGCATTGTTCTGTCCAATGCTTTTTTTGTTTTAAAAAAAAAAAGTGCCGGAACTCACACAACCTGCCTTGCCTACCCTACAAGATTCCATCCAAAAAAGGTGCTGGAACTCCGTTCTGGGCGTTCTATGACAAAAAGCCCTGTCCTAATTATAAACTATCAAATTCAATAGTTGCTGGCCACAAAATATAGCCATGGATATGTTTATCATTTAATAATGATAAGATAAATTCAGTTGATTTTGATTTTTTGATTTTTGTTTATAGCAACTGAAGAAAATTGTTTCTAATTTACAGATTATTTGACTAAATAGACTGTTTTCTTCAATTTCTAACAGTACCCAACATATATATTTTAAAAAACTGCAGTTAATAATAATTAAGAATCCATTCATAAACTCTATATAAGTTGATGTTAAAAGTAAGTAGTCTTAATTATAATGCAGATCTCTATTTTAAATATTTTATTAGTCATTTTCTGGAGGTGGATACAGATTGGGAGACTCTACTCGGAAGCATTCTGAATATATACATGGAGAAAATCAGTATGGGCAAGATGTAAGTAAAACTATGGTAAATAAAATTCCCTGTTAAAAGAGAATCAATATGATTCTCTCAATGTAGACTTCACTTTAAGTTGTGTATACGTACAAAAATATAAACTCTGTGGTTATTAAATATGTTTCTAATTTGGTTAAATGTATTTGTGCTTCTGTATTCTATATTAGAGAAGTGAAGACTTAAAACATGAATATGTGATCGTCATAAAAAGAAAGCACAGAAAAACGTATTCTTCTAAATAAATATACATTATTTTGTGTGTGCCTGACTACATGTTTTAAGTTAGAATCTTGGTTCTAGGTTGATAGTTCATTCTTCCCATTTCTCTCTGCCTGATCAAGAAGATCAGGAGATCAAGTAGAAAGGCCTTTTCTTTTGTTTGCCATGGGAGAGGTGGGCCCTTTTCTGGATGCCGTTGGCTAATTGAAAATATAGTTTTATTCTGACTGAATACTGTTTTGCTAGGAAAGTGGCGTTTTAGTACTTATAATATTTTACTTTATATTCCATAAAATAAGATGTATTATGAAGACTCACTATCTTGAATTTAGATAAATTAGGTAGATAATCTTTTAATATATTGAATAACTTATTTTTATTCTACTGTTTTGATTTCTTACAACAAATAAACAAATACATTTTATGGTCTACACTTACATTTAGTATGCCTTAATAATAGATATGGCAATATAGAGACCTGTTGTGCTATATTAGGAAGTTCTGCTGTAGGTTCTTCAGCACTAATTAATTGTCCCTATGTACATCATGAATTCATATATGAACGTTATAATGCACTAAGGTTGAATTCAGTCTCCCACCTGTCCAGGTAGACATAATCATGTCAAATGCCAGGACTAGCGGAAGGGAGGGCCATGATTCATTGTAGAGGAAAGTGGGCCATGTAGTCTTCCTACATGAAGAGAACGTCTTGTGAAGGACAAAGTAGAAGCTACTGTTCCTAGTATTCTTGGATACAGAGTAGTTTGTCAAATAAGCACTTTTTCCAATTAGATAGGAAATATACTGAAAAAAACTATCCACAGCTATAGTTAGTAATGCGTTAAAAAGCAGAAGGGTGGCTAACATCATAAGGGAGAGCTTTTTACTAGAAATATTGTGCTCTAGTTCAGCAAGCTGCAATTTCTGCATTTCTGTACAGAGCTATTTGTTTTTCAATAGTTAGAAAGATTCTGATTTGGAACTGTTGTATAGTTTTAAAGGATTCAGATGATCATTTTAAATTAAGTGCTATAATACTGAGAATCAGGTCAATATGTATTGGTAGAAACAATTTTGTCTTCAAAATCATAATTTATAAGTCATTATTATGATTTATCAATAGGTTGAGATCTTGCTTAAATTGTGGAAGAATGGCTTCAGCTTAGATGATGGAGAGCTGAGATCCTACACAGATCCAGTCAATGCTCAGTTTCTTGAATCTGTTAAAAGAGGGTAGGTTTATAATATTAGTACAATAATACATTGCCTTGATATTTTTGTAGATTTTCTATTCATTGAGTAGGAGGTTGTGCTTATATTCTTCAAGATAGACTTGCTAATGAATCTGAGATATAGTAGATGCTCTGTCACAAGCAAGTCAGATGAAACTCAGAATAAAATGTAGACAATTTTTTTGCTGAATTAAAAGTATTTCCTAAAAAAAAAAAAATGCAAATGTGTTAAATGATGTTGGGAGATCAATGTGGAAAATTACTATAAGGTCCCATGAAAATTTATTTATTATGAAATGTACAGTCCAACCCTATTTTTGTACACTAAAGGGGTACACATAGTGTTCCTGATTCTATTTTCCCCATAACCACCCTTTGAGAGAAACTGACCTCTAATTTTAATTCAGCAAGTCCTCTAGTTCTCATGCTTAAGTGGGAACGATAACTTACAGTTTCTCAGTTTCTAGCTCAGCATCTTAAGCACTACATCAAGATATTTTTGCCACATGCCTTGTGAAAACTGAAGAAATATTTAAGAGAGCTTCCTGATTCAGCAAGAATTTGCTTTTGCAAAAAGAAGCTTAAATAACTAAGTTAAAAAAATTGATAAACGCAAAAGATATTGTCAAAATAGCTTCATTTAAAACATTTGTTCCATAAAACCTTCTATTAGAAGTCACCTATTTACCTACCTACAAAATTAAACATAAAGCTAGTGCTACAATCTTAATGAATTGATTATCTTTATTCTTATGAGAATCAGAAAAGTTTTTAAAGAATTTCTGGGGGAAAGAGATTTCATTTCTGGAGCACCAATTAACTAATGTCAAGTGGACTGTTCTCATTAATATGAAGGTTCAAAGAGGTGGATAAACTTTTAAGGTCAGGGAAATAATATGTAAAAGAAAAAGTTATTTGCAATCAATTAGTACTTCTTTGATTTCCAAAGCAAATAAACAGAGGATAATTGCTAAACAATTCTATTCCCTAGATTTGACCTGTGCGAATCATGCATGTGTGATTTATAAAAACATCTTGATGGAGTATTTTTAATTTTACAAATATTTCAAAACTATATCTTTTGTTTCAAAGAACAATTAGAGCTAGAATAGCACAATAAATTCCAAACTATGTTCAGCAGGAAATATGGGAGTTGTAATTAAGCATATCTGCTGACACAAGAAAAAGAATCATTTCAGAAAAGACGGCTCTCTCAAATCCCCCAGATCTTTTGTTGTTCTTTCCAATTTAATGAAATATTGGAAATAAATTATGTAAATAAATTATCTAAAACGTTTGTCAGAGAATAGAACCCACATATTGAGTGTGGTGAGCGAAGCAAACAACAGAAAGACCGAGTTCTACAATAGCCTGGAACTAGCAAAGAATTGAAGAAAACATTCCAGAAAAAAAATCCAAATGCCCTATGGGAGATATAGGAGAGCAACTTGGAATGCTATAATGTTTAATTCTTAACCCCCCAGGACAGAACTGCTATTAAGAGGTGGAAAGAATTCCAGAATTCATACCCTATCTGGTTTCTCTAGGCACCCTGTCCTGCCCTTCTCAGTGCACCTATACCCAGATACACAAACACATATAACATAAAACAAGAACAGAAGCTAGCTTAAACAAAAATGCAACATGTGTAAAGACACCTTTATCTAGACAGAAAATGTATACATATCAATAAACATGCCAAAGCAATGAATGGAAGGAGTGGAAACACATATTCTAAATGCACATATGCACACACAGTCACATACACCCATTCAGAGACAACACATGTCCATGCATCTATGGAGAAATATGTATGTTGGAAGTTTAGAACTATATGGGTATAACAGGTTAGAGAAGAAAAAAGGTATCTCCTATGGGTCTGACTATTAAAGAGGTTGGAAAGAATTCCAGACACTGTGGTGTCCATGCTTTCCCTATTTTATGGTCTCACTTCATGCAATTTGAAAATGTAATATTGATAATTTTACTACATTCTAGTTGTCATTCTTAGATTACAGCTTTTCCTTAGGTGTTTCTGAGGCTTATTTATAGCTTTTTGTAATGGTGCTGAGGCAAGATAATAATTTCTGTTGGTTACCAGAGTTTAGGTAGGTATATATTGCATTTAATGACAGACAAAGGTGATGGTAGTGAAAGGAAAGGAGAGACCTCTGGTGCCATTGAAGCTGTTACTGGATATTAAGGATTTTGGCAGCAGTAGTGGTGAAAACATGAACAATTAGAGCTCCAGAATAGTTGGCAAGAAGCAGCCTTGTGGGAAGTAGAATATACTAATAGTAATCAAAGTCAATATGGAAGCCATAGATGACACTGGAGATTGAGGTGATTAACTGGATAGGGAGACCAATTTCTTGGTGGCAGCAGCAGCACAGGAGGAGCTGCTAGGCAATGGGATGTTGGATGCTGGTGATGGTAAGTGCTTGCTCAGTGATTAGTACTTGTGTAACAGCAGCAGTGGCATTTGACTGCATATTGGTGGTAGTACTGACCTGGGTCCAGTTGGCTCAATGAGCTGAGGTACCAAGGTAACCCTTAGCATGTGGGACTGGGCTAATGGCCAAGTTGAGTGCTTGTCTGTTTCCTATGGTTTTTCCAAAATCCACTATGCTGGACAACTATGACATCTCTTCATGTATTATCAGGACCTCAAAGAAATAGACTATCAGCTGTCTGCTCTAACTGCTCAGAGTTCCTAAGATATATTCTTTTAACATTTGAATGAGACCACTGGGTAAGGATGGGTGAAGTCATCCATCATCATGCTGATGATACCCAGTTATATATCTCAATCTATCATGGATGTTGAGATTTTATCTTAGTGCTGTGGGCATCTGGACCAGGAAGAATAGGCTTAGAATCAACTCTTGTAAGAACAATGGCTGTAGATTTTGGGGTCACCTGCCCATGGTGGATCTTAGGATTTTGCTAGACCCATTGCTTATGCTCAAAAAATAGGTAGCAGTTATGCCTTGGAAGGCCTTTGCATAAATCCATCTTGTGCGTTAATTATGCCATTTACTGGATTGGAAAACCATACTTATGCTGACAGAGCCTTGGTACATCTTACCTGGATCACTTCAATACATTTTACTTGGAGTTGCTCTTGAAGACCACTTGGAAGCTAAAGGGATCCAACATGCAGTAGTGAGAGTAGTTATAGGTATACATTAATATACATGTAGCCCTATTACTTTGTACTAGTTGCCCAGTAAGTTTAAAGATTCTGTTTGTCAGGTATAAAGCTTTTCATGGCTATTGGCAGGATTGCCTGTCACTAGTTATGCTTCCTGTCCAGTGAGTCTGACAGGATTGGCATGCTCTCTGAATTGTCACTCAAGCAGTATCATTTGGCAGGACAAGGGTATTTCCTTCGAGGTCCAGATAGTTCTGACCCTGTCTGCCTTCCAGAAGATTCTAAAGATTTTGATCTTTCCCCAAACATTAATTCTGTATGCCATTATGAGTCACTTGCCAAGTGGGCAGCCATATAAATTAATAAATAATGAACAGTTTACTCTCTCTCTCTCTCTATATATATATAGTGGCTATATTGCAGTACTGTATTTTCCGGCGTATAAGACGACTTTCTAAACTATGCAAATCTTCTCCAAAGTCGGAGGTCGTCTCATATGCCCAGTCGTCTTATATGCCGGAAACTACTGTATTTTCCAGCGTATAAGACAACTTTCTAACCATGCAAATCTTCTCCAAAGTGGGGGTCATCTTATACGCCCAGTCGTCTTATACGCTGGAAAATACGGTATTATAAAGGAGAGTCTTTTATTTCGGAAAGCTGTCTTAGATTTATTTATTTGTCAAAAATTCAACTTTTGTCCTTTATTTTGGTCATTTAATTTTTGCTGTACAAATGATACCCGTTAATGCACAGCCTTTCACATTTATGTGGAAAACATGGAAACAGGATTTTCTTTTTAAAGTTAAATTTATATATACTGTTTGATTTTAGATAATTTTATTAGGATATATGTTTATGAAGTTTTTCTTGGTTTTGCTCTTGAATTTTTCTTTGTAAAGTTAAAAACATAAACAATTACCCTTTTTCTATCTTTATCAACCTCTTTCAGATTTGTCCATTTTTCAGGTTTGTCCTTTATTTTTTCCAAACAAATATGATCACCTTAAATATATGCAAGGCTATAGAGAAGAGTGTATCTATTGAATAACATTTTTTGATAGAACGTTAAAGAAACAGTTGGGCAAAAAACAAATCACTTTTAACATTTCACTGTTCAACTTAGTCTATAGGTTTCCTCATTGTTGTTCTTTTTTCTGCTGCTAAGAGAGATTCCTGCTGAACTTCAACGACTAGTGCATGGAGGTCAAGTTAATTTAGATATGGAAGACCATCAAGAGCAGGAATATGTAAGACCTAGACTGAAGTTCAAAGCTTTCAGTGGAGAAGGTCAGAAACTTGGAAGGTTAGTTTCTTTAAAAAAAAACCAGTGTCATTTAAAAAGAAATTATACTGAAGTGTTATTAATTGCATTTGAAAGTAGGAGTTTGGAATATTGTGGTACACAATTTCTGGGAGTTGCAGTATTGATATATTTAAAAGTACTGTATTGGGGAAGAGTTATGTATGTTGTTTTTTGCATTTTTTCCCCATGCCTTCAAATGAATCTGGACAATTCACTGCAGTTTTTTTGGCAAGATTTTTTGGAAGTGGTTTGCCATTGCCTGCTACATAAGACTGGGAGACAGTAAATGGCCCAAGCTGACTTCATGCTAAAGTGGTCTCCCAGTTTCAAGTCTGAATGTTAATGTTTTCTTAAATTATTAAATATGGAACAAATAATATCAAGAACTTATCTCAGAAGTTAAAATAAAAACAGTAGCTAAGTATAGTTCATTAAATTGTTACTTAGTGCTATGAAATGATCAAATTTTTTACATATATTTTATTAGAATTTCCAGACATGTCAAACCAATTAGTTGAGTGTTTATAAACAAACAGATAAGGACTAAATATTCAGTCAAGGCAATTCTGCTCAAGAGCTTTTCCTAGAAGAGTAAATCTGCAAAGATGGTGTTTGCAATCTGCAAAATATTTTTACTCCTGCAAAAGACATGTTCTTTAAATTAAGTAAACAATAGTGCAATTTTATTCATAACATTTCAATAGTTTAGACAAGGAATAAGCAACATAATGCCGTCCAAATTTTCTTGATTCTGAATTTATCAGACAAAATGAGTGTGATAATTTGGGTAATGCTGCTGGCTGCTTCATTCTTGAACACTATACAAGTAGTCCTCAATTTATAACCATAATGGAGTCTGCCAGTTAACGGTTGTAAATTGTGATGATCATCACATGACTGACCCTATTAAGACCTTTTTTTTTCAGTGATCATCAAGTGAACTCTGCAGTTGTTTAGCAAACTCATTGTGCACTATAGAACATTTCTACCAGAATCCAGAAGTAAACATCACATTCAGCAACAAAAAAATACCATCGTGTGCCAATAGGACACATAGATTCAGGCCAGTTGTTGAGTTCTCACAACAAAGTCATGTGAGTGAGGGTGGGGTGGCCATCGGAACTTTGGAATCAAATTGTAAGTACCTTTGGGGATGTCTGTCATAATGTTCATTAAGTGACTGTTCATAAGTCAAGGACTACCTGTATGCTTCTGATCACATGACCAAGATCAAATATGCTAATAAGAAATTGGAAAGAATTCCAGAATCATGTCCTGTCTCTTTTCCCTGCCTTGTTTTATTTTCTTTTAGCCTTACTCCTGAGATTGTTAGCACACCTTCATCTCCAGAAGAAGAAAACAAACCTTTTCTTGATGCCACTATTCCAATAGATGCCACTGTACCAACAACTAAGATCCAGATTCGTCTAGCTGATGGCAGTCGTTTAATACAAAGATTTAATCAAACACATAGGTAAGTAAGATAATTTTCCTGCAGGATCTTGGAACTGAACAGATGATCTCCAGAATTCCTTCCAATCTTCCATTTTATAATATCATAAAATTCTGCTGATCCAACAACTAAATTGTAAATCTTATTCATGCCAACAGGATTACAGATATACGAAATTTTATTGTCCAGTCTCGGCCTTTGTTTGCCACAACTGACTTTGTTCTTTTGACTACATTTCCACATAAAGAACTTACAGATGAAAGCCTGACATTACAAGAATCCGATATATTGAATACTGTGATATTACAACAGCTGAAATAAACTTTAAGCCTATCAGTGCAAGGTAGATTCTGGAATAGATAATGTTGCATATTGATTTGCAAGATTGCTTCAAATAAATGAGGAAAAGACCAAAATAACTGGAAAATATTGTTTTCCAGTTAAATATAGCAATTGACTTTTAAACCTGTTCAGTCTTCCAGTAACAATTTATCCAAATTGCAGGTCAAAAAGTTTCGTTAAACAAATGTTGAATTTGTATTCTTCCTAGTTCAACTTTTGTGAATTCAAGTACTTTTAGGGAAGTGGGAAACAGGGAGAGAGAAAAATATATTAACAGAAAATATATAGAAATTTACATTTGGAATTTATAGGTATGCAGTGGGAGAGGGTTGTGTATACCAGGGGATTCATTTTCTGAAGATTTGTAAAAATTGAACTATAGAAGAACTTTTTACTGTATCAGGCTATAGCTATTGAAACCTTCAGTTTCTTAGTCCCATTCTGTCACTTAGAAATATTTTGTTCATAGGATGTCTTTCACTTACCCAACATGGTTTTAACGTAATCTCATTGTTGTGCTGCAAATTATTTTGTTTGCCCTATCATTCCCTTTTAATATCAGTTATTATTAACCATAGTTTTAAGTGCAAGATTGCAGAACAAAGTATTTTTTTACTTTTATTCTGTAAACAGATTTCCTGTTATCAAATGTGAACTCCTAACTTTTATGACTAAAAAGAGAAATATAATAAAATAATATTTATGATTTTTAAAGTCTGGTATAAAAGAAAATAGTGTGCTATGTTGTATTAAATATGTAATTGAGGACCAATGAATAAAATCACTTTGCAGTATCACTTTTACACCTGGATTTGAATAGCAGTGAGTCCTTAATATGAATCTTTCAACAACAAGTATGTTTGTTTTGAGTATGCAGAGTAGCTTCCGCCACTGAAAATTATTGGTCATTGAACCTTGGATATCATAAAGCATTTCTATTCCAGGTTAATTTGTATGGCTAGTTGCCTTTTCAAACCATTTTCCAAAAGCTCAAATTTGCAAACTTCATAAATCAAAATTAAGAATTTTAGTGGTGTCCCAAATTTAACTTGTACTTCTGGTTATATTCTGTTGTAAATAATAAAGAAGAAAATGTGCACAAACAGGATGTACAGATTATCTTGGAATTTCATCCACAGGCGTAGAACACTGGATTAAGATTCTACTTGTAGCATTTTAAAGCATAGCATCAGTTGATGTAAGGAAAAGAACAGAAATAAAACTTTTTTTTTTAAAAAAAAAAAGTAGCGACCACAAATGCTTGGTTATCAAGGTAGAACAAAATTTATCAACACAAAGTTCTACATACAAATTCCACTGTTTCCACTTGACTATAAAAATGTCTGAAACTTAGATGACATGTGATAATTACTCTATATTTTAACTGTATTGCACTTATATCTTTTAATCACAATATATGAATCTTTTGTGAATAGATAGTTCATAGTATTATATCAATAATTATTTGACCAGCATAGTTTCATTTAAGATAATAAAAGTGTTAAGTATTTTCAGTGGCAGCTTTTCAGAAACTCTACTCATAACTCATTCAGAGGATAAAAGCCAATATATTTTTTCTCCTCCTTTTTAAGCTAGGTCAGTGGTGGCATACCTATGGCACAGGTGCCAGAGGCGGCACTCAGAGCCTTCTCTGTGGGCACATGTGCTGTCATCCCAGTCCTAGGCCTTTAGCTGGGTTTTATAAAACCTTTTCACTTTAGGCCTCCGCCATGTGCAAAAAAAAAAAAAAGGTTCAATCAGTCAATTTCAACTTCTCGTGGGAAAAAAAAAGATCTTGCAAAGTTGGAATTGATTGATTGAACCTTTTAGTCCCACGCAGTCTGCTGATACCACCCAATGGGCCATGCCCACCCAATGGACCACACCCACCCAATGGGCCACGCCCACCCGGCACTCGACGATGCATAAGTGGGTTTTGGGGTGCAGTTTGGGCACTCAGTCTCTAAAAGGTTCACCATCACTGAGCTAGGTTTATGAAAAAATATTAAAAGATTTAAATATCTTTATAGTATTTTTTTCCTTCAGTTTTGTGCCCAGGAATCCAAGTCTGTCAATAAAGGAGGTTGCCTTTAAATGTAGGATGTAATGCTTGGCTGTAAATTTTAAGTAGGGTTAGCTCCAGATTTCTACAAGTTGTTTGTAATTGATACAGACTATAGTTTTTTTCAAAGACATAAACATTTTTTAAAAATGAAAAGATGTTGAAATGAAAGCAAAATGTGAAAGTAGAATATGTGCATGATTAAACTAAAAATAAATTAGCATTATGTTGTAATTAATAAAGAACATGTTTAAATTATAATTCTGTATATTTTCATATGTTTATTAATTTGAAAAACAGATTGGTTCAGTCTGCTCTTCTTAAATCAGGGTCAGAGAAGTTAATTCATAAGACAGTTAGAACTTTTAACTGATGTTGAAGACAATGCATACTAAATTGGCATCTTTCAACTGGCCAGCTGATTTGCAATAGATACGAAAAACAAGAAGAAAATGCTATGATAGAAAACTCCTATTTGCTTCAGATACTTGGAGTTGCTTACTAAGTTATTCACATTCATGCAGTCATTCATTCAGTTCAGTCATTCATTTATTGAATTTATATGGCTGTTCATCTCAGAAAAGTGACTTTGGATGGCATATAACAAAATTGTAAAACAATAAACAGAAAACAATTATTTTTAAAATATTAAATATTGCAAGGCTAAAAAAGAAAAGCAGATGTTAACAGCAATAATATAATGAAACTACCTCAAGATTTCAGAAGTTTGCTGGAAAATCCAGATCTGATGACATAACCATTTCTGAGAAACTTCTAGAAAAACAAGAAAGATTGAACAAATCTCACTTGGGACGGAGGGTGGGGAGAGATATCTGTTATGTCCTAATACATTCATTTTTTTGTGCAAGGGGGAAAGTACCACAGCAGAGAAAACCCATCATGGGGAGCCTGCTAAGGGTAGTTGTGACAGACAGGGCATGTAGCAGGCCTCTTCTGCCTGAATGGATAGGATGGACTTATGTAATCAGGACAGATAGTCACTCAGATAAATCATCACATGCCATGAATCACTTTAAAGGTCAAAATCAGCACCTTGAATTAGAATCAGATACAGACTGATAATCAATGTGGCTCACAGAGTAGAAGTGTAATGTGCTGTTCTAGAAGAATAGATAACTGTCATGCCACTACATTTTGCACCATCTGAAGTTTCTCTTGAGAGGCAATCCAATGCCTACACTAATTAAGAAGAACGTTGCTCTGTGATTCTTTGATTGTGGGTACAACTTTCTGCCTGCTTCAGTGACTTGCCACTTATCCTAGGGCAAAGATTAACCCCCCTTGGGAAAGATCATTTCCCATGAGCCAAAAATAGAAGCTGATGTGGTTAAGAAAAATCATATCTGAGAGGCTACAGTATAATGTAAATTTTTCACAAAAGAACTTGTTTATTGGTTATGTCCTAATATGTTCATTTTTTGTGCAAATGAGAATTTACAGGTATACAAGAATAACTGAAGATGGCAATAAGTCCAAAATAATAATGACTATAAGTACAGCAAAAAAATGAATAAATTATCCGCATACCCTGCCTGATAATATACTGTATATTGAACAATAAATCCTCCTCAGAGTGAAGCTTAATCTCTGGTGTTTACATGGACATATCTCTGTAGTAGACAACAATATAGAAGAAATTTCCTATTGCTATCTTCAAGGATGGGCAGATTATTTTCAAGTTTAACCCATAGCAGTGGTATTGCCTGAAAAATGCCATTGCTCATTAAGAAGGCCTGACCCTACTTAGCTTCCTAGCTGAGACAATGTTGGCCAGGTGCTGTCATCGCCAAGATCAATATACTAGCTTTTTTGCACTCACCGAGGTGCTTCTGGGTTAAAGGGTTAGCTGGTGACATCTCTGTTGCCTGGGGGATGCACAGTTGGAAGCCCCTTTTATTCTCCAGCAGGAGCTGGAGCAAAGGATGGCAGCTCAATCCCACCCCATAGCAGTACTCAGGTCTTGAACACAAGCTTGCTAACCTCCAACCCAGCATCCTAATCATGCAAGCATCAAGCTACTAATATACCAGGTGTCATTAAGCTTCTGAAAAAGTTATCTAGATTAATCTTGTGAATTATTCAATGTTTATCATTTAACAAGAGGCAACTTTACTCTAACTTCCTACTAATAGTTAACTAGTGGAATAGTTGGAATAATAGTTATTCCAACTCAACTCAAAATATATAAAAATGTGATACATTTTCAGTTTCAATATAAGATTGTTACGTATTTCTGCTTTGCCAGTGCATGTTTGGGTTTCCATATTAATCAAAAAAGCTGATACAAGGAAGCTATTATGAAATAAATTAGATATACTCAATTACTGAAATTCCCATTGAATTACAGTTATTTTGATTTATTTTAAACTGATTCAGTCCATCAGTTAATCATAAATTTGAAATGATTCCATTCACAATAATGGAAAAAGATTGGTTTATATTCAAGCATTCTGATTTATCTCATGTCTAGTTTATAACCATAATAAATAATAAACCTATCCAACATGGAAGCTGTTTCAACCTTTAGTCCGTGTGAATGTATATAAACTATTTATCACACTATTGTGTAATTCAAGATAATGTAGATTGACACATTGGATACTACAACTTGAACTTTTATTGTCATTGACAAAGTCCAATGATTGAATATCCATCTTACATAAAATCTAATTTTGACTGAAATTAGATATCATCTGTGAATTAGAACCAAGAAGCATAAGGCTTTATTGATAATTATTTTCTAGTGCTACTTCAGTTAAATTAGCAATAGCACTTAGACTTATATACCGCTTCACAGTGCTTTACAGCCTCTCTAAACAGTTTACAGACCCAGCATATTGCCCCAAACAATCTGGGTTCTCATTTTACCAACCTTGGAAGGATGGAAGGCTAAGTCGACCTTAAGCTCAAATTTGAACTTCTGGCAATGGGCAGAGTTAGCCTGCAATACTGCATTCTAACCACAGTACCACCACTATTCTCATTAAATACTTAGCAAATGCAATTATAATAACTTAAATATCTTTATTATAGTATTACAATACCTATAATGTATACTAGTTTATAATATTTTCAGTAAAATAAATTTACTTCATAGATCCTGCTGTTTAGTTGTTCAAAGCAACTATTAATCATGAGATTGTCATTGTACCTAGCTTGTCTTGACCGATATTGAAAAAAATTAAGCAACATCAGGTCTTGTGAGTATGTACGCGAAAGAACATCAGGGCATCCCATGTAGATTAAGGTTAGAAAATATTTTCTAAAAATTCAAAAGCAGTGAACTTCTATATTTGTTCTAAGGAAAGAACATCAATTTGGGAGCGAAGAAAACTCAACGGAATTTTTATATTAGTTTCTTGTTCTAACTAACATGGACAGAAGCAGCTGATTCTAATGGTGGAAAGTCCATGAATAAAAACACGAAATAATAATAAATACAAATATCCTTTCAATCTAAAATGTGTTGTCTAAGATACTTGTAAAAGGACATATCCAAGAAATGCTGGCAGGAAAGATCTAAAAATCACATATTTTGAAGATCTAATATTCAGGAAATTTGTCTAATTGCAGTGTTCCTCCTGCATTTTTATTTTAAAGGTAATTCATAATCCCAGGAGTTTAATTCTCAAAACTGCTGCAATAAAACACATATTCAAAAAAATGTATTCAAGGATTAAAGGGCCACGGTGAGCAAAAAAGAATCCCCTTTAAGAGGAGACTGTCTGCCCCAAACTACAGGATCCTTTTTTCTGCTTCTTTTCCGTTCAAAGCCAGTGGAGGGGAAGAACAATTTAGCCCAAACTGCATAGGGCACTGGGTCAGGGATGCTGCAGTGCAGGCATGAACAAAGACATGCTCCTTCTTACATAGTTTATGTAAGGCTTGAGGCAGTTCTGATGCTTGATAAACATTATTTCTTCCCACTTACCCCCATGCTCCTATTTGCCTGCTTCCCTCTCTTTTGTGATATTGCCACAGTGTGTTTCTAGAGGCCAGTGCCCATAAAGCTCCATAGTTTACTTTTATACTGAGAGGTCTCTTATCTTTGGGCCAGTCATCATCTTTAAGTTTAAGTTATCTCACAAGGGGGTGGGAGATACAGTAGCGCAGAAAAAACAAAAGCGTGTTGACTTGAGTGCCAGTAAG